TACCCGGGCATGGTGGCATGCGCCTGTAGTCCCAGCTACTCAGGAGGCTGAGGCAGAAGTGCTTGAACCCAGGATGCGGAGGTTGCAGTGAGCCGAGATCGCACCATCGCACTCCAGCCTGGCGATAGAGTGAGACTCCGTCTCAAAAAAAAAAAAAAAATCTATGGAAGAACTTTATTAGCTGGTATCAGGAAAGAGTATATTTAACTTCACTGAAAAGGACTTACTAGGTGCAGCTGACATGGCTATGCTATGTGCTGTTATCATAAAGAATATGGAGACAGAAGTAAAAATTCTGGTTTTTCCCTTTTTGGGCCCAAATCCAACTACCTATTTTCTTTCAGATAAACATTTCTAGAAATCAGAGATCACTCCTTACCCCATCCCAACCCCCAAGTTCAGGTCAGAGTTAGTACTTTAAGCCAAAAGTAAGACTTAGTAAGAAACGTAATTCTTTAAAGAATGGCTAAAGAAGCTAAAATTTTATATTGGGACCAACAATCTACCTTTGCTTTAATGGTAGTATGCGCAGTGGTTATTGCTCTAATTTTGACAAATCTAGAACAAAGACTAATTTTTTAAAAAGACTTTGAGTAAATTATTTTATTGTCAAAAGGTTAAAACTACTTCTTAGATAACCACTTTTAGTTATTACTGCTAATTTGTCTTTAAAACATAATTAAAATATTATTTTTTGTGTGTTACAGTCTTTCTACCAGGAAAATTATAATAAACATTACATTAAAAAAAAAAAAAAAAGAATAGGTTTACCTTCTACTAACAGATCAATGTGTCATAAAACATGCAGTATGTCCAGGCACGGTGGCTCGTGCCTGTAATCCCAGCACTTTGGGAGGCGGAGGCGGTGGATCCACCTGAGGTCAGGAGTTCAAGACCAGCCTGGCCAACATGCTGAAACCCTGTCTCTACTAAAAATACAAAAATCAGCCAGGTGTGGTGGCGGGTGCCTGTAATCCAAGCTACTCAGGAGGCTGAGACAGAACTGCTTGAACCCAGGTGGCAGAGGTTGCAGTGAGCCAAGATTGTGCCATTGCACTCCGGCTGGGATGACAAGAGTGAAGCTTCATCTCAAAAAAAAACAAAAAAAACAAACAAAAAACACATGTAATATGTTAGGGTCTATCTTATGTTTCTTTGATCTATCTACAGACACACACATATTCACACACCCCTCTGTCTTTTCTTCTCTCCCTTTAAAGATAAATAATGTAGTAGTACATAGCTCAGACACTGAGTCCTCAGAAACTTTCCAAATGCAATAGTCTAAGGCAGGTACCACAGAACACCAATCCAACAAATATTCAAAGCCATTTTCCAAAAAAAAAAATCAAACTGCTTTGGAGCCAGTCAACCAAATTTCTACACTGAGCACTTAGGCAAATCCTAAGTGCCAGCGAGTAAATCAAAGAGCTCAACTCAGGCTGGATGCAGTGGCTCATGCCTATAATCCCAAAACTTTAAGAGGCCAAGGTGGGTGGATCACTTGAACCCAGGAGTTCAAGTCCAGCCTGGGCAACATGCCAAAACCCCATGTCTACAAAAAATGCGAAAACTAGTTGGGTACGGTGGCATGCCTGAGGTCTCAGCTACTTGGGAGACTGAGGTGAGAAGACTGCCTAAGCCCAGGGAGGTCGAGGCTGCAGTGAGCCCTGACTCCAACACTGCACTCCATCCTAGATGACACAGTGAGATCCTGTCTCAGCAGGGGGGTACAGGGGATGAGCACAAATCCAAAAAAGTACATTTGGGCCAACAGATTTTTACCTAAAAGAATGAGCCCATTTCTGCTTTCCAGTTCCAAAAGTGCAGTAAAGAAGCACATGGTTTCACTCCCTGCCACAGAAAACCAAAAACAAATATGTAGCACTGAGATTATTACTAGTAATATCCTAGTACTCAAATATGAGGAGACAGTTCCTGAGCCACAGAGAAGTGAAAGTGCTGAGAATCAGACTTCCACATCTGCCACAACCCTACCCTCATTCTGCCCAGCACAACTCATGGTTTCTACACTAAAAAAAGCAAGATTGAAGTAGACAACCAGCTTCCCCCAGGATCCTGGGTTCCCTGACAAGACACTGCCTTAACCTACGGGAAGCATGGTGAATACATGAAAGGAAAAATATTCCCAAGGAAAGACAAAGGCGAAGAGGGGAGGCAGAAATGCTATCTCCAGCTCTGGAAATTCTGCTACGATTCGGTGAAAGGAGATGCCAAATCACAGTGGTTCAGCAGGACCACATAGGTCCCTTCATCATGAACTCCCACCTAGCCTTCCCCACTGCTGAGATATTCCCTTTGGGACCTTCCCCATTCAGGAGGAGCAGCATTTAGGTTGTTTACCAGAGCCATGGTGAACCTGTGCTTAAGGGGCCACCTAGAGCCAAAAAGGAGGCAGCGATCTAGCAGTGAAGAATCTCCAAGCAAATATATCCAATAAAAACCAAAATAAGCCAGATAGAGGAAACTAGAATCAATAACTAATCCTTCAATGCAAAGACATCAACTTATATCCACAAGAAATAACAGCAAACAGGGAACGATGACCTCCTCAAATGGACAAAAGCAAAGAACCCCAGTGACATGCTAATGTGAATTTGCTAACCAATAATTCAAAATAGTGGTTTTAAGAAAACTCAATGATCTCCAAGATAACACAGAAAAACAATTCAGAAATTTATTAAAGAAATTTAACAAAGATAGCCGGGCGCGGTGGCTCAAGCCTGTAATCCCAGCACTTTGGGAGGCCGAGGCGGGTGGATCAC